AGTCTCATGATGAATTTTAAAGGTATACATTCTTATTGTATATTATAGTAAAAAGAAAATTTCTCAATTATTTCGGTAATACAAATAAGAAAATTATTAAAAGAATTTTTTTAATAAGTTCATACAAATTAGTTATACACGTGTAACTTTTTATTAAATACAAATATTTGGTGGATATTAAACTATTTGACGAGTTTTTTTATTTTATAGCTGACAATAAAAAAGGGTGGTTTAGTTCTGAGCATAACTTCTTGTTTTAATAGTAATAAAAACAAAATTGTATTCTGAGAAAGAAACTAAAGAATGTAGCTGATAATATTATTTGGAAACGTCCAAATTATTATTTTTTTTTAAATCAATACATTTGTTTAAAAGCAAAATTAAGTGAGCAAAACAACTCAGGGGGTTAGAGTAATATAGTGAGCCGGAAAGGTCATAATTCTTCAGATTTATTAAAACTATAAGTGATGAAATTACTTTCAAATTAATTCTTCCAAATTCTAATTCAAACTATTAAGTGTAAATACAAATAATTTTATAGACAATAAATAGACCTAACTGCTAGTTGGCTTATGTATTGGCTTATTACTAAACTGCACTTAATTGGCTCAAATTTTTAAAAAAAGCTCTTCCCCTTCACTCTAAATAATTAGTTTATTTGAAAGTGATTTTACCACATTCAGATATAAAAATTTCTGTTGACCGGTGACTTCTCCTGTTTCTATATGCTCTTTACCCTTTATGCCCCACCCTATTGTTTTGGGTTTTTTGTATTTGTAAAGAAAGTTTTACTACAAATGTTAAGAAAATGTGTATGTGCTATATAAGGTTACACAAGGTTATACAAGGTTACACATTTTTATTTTCTGTCTCCTAATAAAATAACAAAAAAAAAAATGACAAAATAAAATATTTTCATGGTTCTTCAATGTAGGTATTTCTATTTTTTTAAGAATACCTACACAAGTTAAAAATTGAATAATGTATACACTTTTAGAGTGGTTTCATGAATTTATAGGGTATGATGAAATTTTTGTACCTTTTTGGCTTAAGGAAATCGGTTCAGCAGCTTATAAAATATCATGAGTCTAAACAAAAAAAAAAAACAAAAAATTGAAAAACCTATCATTGTATTTAACACCTTCCTAGTTTCGCATTCTAGTTAAAATTTACTTTTTCTAGTTAAATGTCATTATACTTCCACAAATTTATTTGTTTAGAAAATACATTTTTTAAATAATATACATTTGTGTATATGAACTAGGTATATATAGCAAAATAATAAAAATATTTTACACGATAATTTATAGCGATCAAAGATACAGAATGGTTATCAAATTACTGTGTACAACAAAAAAACGAATTAATTGAGAGCAATATCAAATAAATAAATTACGGCTAAATGTGAGGTCAGTGTTGTCATTATAAAAATTAATATAGAAACAAATCAGGAAAGTATCAATAGATCTTGTTGAAATATTTTATAATATTATTGTCATTATATAGTAACAATATACTATCAGTATAGTACAGTATATTATCTCGGTTAATTTAATTTATGGTTTCTTACTGTAGTAATAAGTCTGAAATTGTCTGATAGCGTTCTTACTGTAGGCATAAAATAAAAATATTATTGTTAATTAATACAGTAAATGTAATATTTCCACATACACATTATGATTTGTTTTAATACCTAATAGCATAATAAATAACCACTTAACGATAAACAGGGTGTTCCAGCATGAAAGGTAAGTAATAGGTGATTGGACATCTGGGGATCCCCAAATAAGCCCCCCGTTTTCATTTTTTCGATAAGTCAAAAATTGAAGATTTCGACAGTTAAGTAAAAAAATAATGACTTAAAAAAAAAAATGATTCCCTGTTATTCAGTGCAAAAAACTCACCTTAAAAGAGGGGTCACATCATTTTCAGTCTTTTTCACTTTACGCTTTCACCCGTCTCATAGTTTTCCTTCACACCAATGCTCAACTTGTTTTTATTTTTGACCTACCTCTACTTCGTTTACATGAAAAATAGCTAAATAAATATTTTACTTTAAAGTGAAATTTAAAATGGTCTGCAATATACATCCGATTATGTAGTACAAGATTTGTAGTTTATAAAACTGAACTATGATAACACAAACTTACATATGTACTGTTTTTTGTTTGTTTTATATTGAGGTTTGAACAATTTAATACAGTTAAACATAATGCAGTTTTGTGGAGATACCGTGTGATTATTTTGTAAGGTCTGTTGTATAACGATTAATACAGGTAGGTAGGTCCATTTCGCTATTTGATTTATCTACCCCCTTGAAACTGTGCCAATACACTTAATTCAATTAGCAAAATTCTAATCTTCACGTCTCGTAATTTAAACGGTACACAGATTTAAAGTGTTTTAAAACTACCGTGTTCTATTTCATTAAACTTACATGAAACGCATCGAATCTAAAAAATAATTAAAATTTGGATTGAGATAAAATATGTTATTATCATTACTATTAAAGTTTTATTAAACGGATAAGTCATTAGGCAAACATTGTATATTTGAGAACATAGGATCAACAAAAAAATACATTAAGCAAAAATTAGTATAATATTTTAAAATTACTAACTCTCGATTACTAGTTATCCGATCAAAATGATTTTAAATTAAATTAATTTGATAGTATTATGTTTCAATAGCTATTTTATCACTGGTGATTATCTTTTACAACGTAGTGTTATGAATTATTTAAATGTCTCGGGAGGTGATGCAGTCGAAAAATAGCAAAACAACAACTGTATTATATCATATACAAGGCCGCATGGTGATAAAAAAGTAACCACTTCAACTTTCTTTTTCATAACTTTTTTAACGTTTTTACCGAAACTAATTTTCGAGTTGTCTCATAAAAAATGATTATAACTTTTTAGAGTTTGTTTTCTAAAGCGTTAGTAAAAGAAAATATATTTTTTAACAGTCTTGACACTCAAATGTAATTTTTTGTACATTTTAAGTAAACTCAATTAAATGTCTCGTAAAATTTGTCTTCTAACAAAAATCACACAAAAATAAAATAAATGTTTAAAATACCTTTTCAGCTACGCATAGAAGATAAAATTGAAACGTTTATTTTCCATAGACGGCGTCTGGTATAGGCTTTTCAGCTACACTAATGAGTTGGTGCACAGCTAAATAATAGCCGATAACGCGAAAATACAACATGATAATTATACATGGTAATATTATAGTGTAAAGTTAAATTTTAGGGTTTTTAATATTAACGGAAGGCCTAGAACTCCATTTCTGAAGCAGGTGATGGAAGATACTGGAATAGGAACATACTGGGAGCTGAAGAGGATTATAAATGACAGAGATAAGTGGAGAGAGACATCAATAATCATTTAACCAATCTTCGGATTGAAAAAAAAAGAGTACAACGAGAAAACATATTTTATTAACTTTTAATAACTGTCGACGGCTGTTAACATTATAACAAAATGAATACTCATATAATATATAGGTTTTATTATGTACCAAATTATGTTTTTATACAAACGTGTTTAAACTAACCTTGTTAACACGAGTTGTTTGACATGCCATGTTCGGGAGAGCAAAGACCACGCGTATAAACAACATACTATACCTAAAACACTTGTTTTCGCAAAATCTTAATAATATAACAAACACAACCATGTGATGATAAGCTCTTCAAATAACTTATTTTATAATATATATTTTCATAAATGTTTACTAGGTTTAACATTTAATTTAGCTTCCGTGAACATTAAAAATGGAGGTTTAATTAAAAACAATATTCGTTAAAGAAAGTCTAAATTAATTTGTTTTAAATAAACAATGTCATTAATACTTTTCACATCTAACACGTTTCGAAAAAACATATTCATTTTTTTATGAAAATCTTATCCAAATTTAACGGTTTTTGAGTGAACAATTATTTGTAAAATTATTTTATTGTAGTATCTAACAATTTAACTAAAATGTTTGTATTTTGATCACTTCGATCGTTTAATAGATTAATACAAAATATTTTTAAACAACGAAATTTACAGTTTATTAAAAATAATATTTATCAAAAGAATTTACTGTTGTATTCAAGTAGTATTGTATGCTTGGGTTGGGAATGCAGAGTTAATATATAATTAATACACAATGATTACAAGTTAGGTTTAAATTTTTAAATACTGAAAATTAAATCAAAAAATTCATTTATAAAATTTAAAAGTCGAGCAAACAATGTATGTACTTTAAATGTTTAGTGATTTTAAAACCATTAATTAATTGGAGGAGTATAGATATAAACGCTCTTATATGGATTTGACGCTCCTTTTTATGTATTTCAAAAATTTTGAAATACTGGTAAAATTAGTGTGACCAGTTGTCACATTAGTATTGCATATCTATGTATGGATTTTTACTCATGTTAAGAGTCTTAATTTCCAATTGAACACAAACAATCTATACTCCAAAATGTGTGTTACTATTAACGTATGGCATAATTAACATCACTTATGACGTTTGACAATTGATTTGAAAACGTATTAATATTATACAGGCGCTGTAACATAGGGGAAAAAATGCTAAAATTACAGAATTACGGGTTCGACGCTTTTGGGCCACGTCTAGAATATTATACACGTGATAGTTGTAAATATATTGCTTGGTAAGTTCGAGTCGGAATGGTCGATTGGGATTTCTCTAATGGAGAATTGATATCGCACGCTTCTTCAGCTCGAACCTGAATCGTGATTTTCTCGTTATCATTATAAATATTAATGTAATACCCAAAAGGCGACCGTTTCAAAGGCAACGGCTAGTGTTAACCGAATACCTAAGCCTAGGCCTGTGAGTGTTTTATTATTATTATCGTCATTATAGATGAGGCGCTCTTAGCGCCGGCCGGTTGCGGTGGCGGTTGTTGTTGCGTGGCCATAACGTTTGGCGGATTCAAAGCGATGCGCGTGCGACCACCGCAGTTGCGTTACCCTCGTGATCGTCCGCGTACGTTCCCTGTAATAGCTCATTGGTCCCCGCCGACACCATAACTCGCGAGTTACGCGACCGCCAGTCGATAGTCGAGATCGTCCGTACGTTGTATTTTCGATCAGTCGCTTATTGCAGAGCCGCTTTCCCGCGCCAATCGCCTGCTTACTGCGAGGATACCTACCGGTACAGACGTTATTGGGTCGCGGTAAGGCCCGCCAGACTTATTGGCAACAACGCACCGAGGTACGATATTATTACTTGCAATATTATTCAGAGATGGACAAAAACTATCCAAACTATCAATAAGTGTTAAAATTAGATAATTATACAGGATTTATCTACGTCCAAATTTATTGTATTAAGATGTAAATGCATACAGGTAAAGTATGCAAGATTTCGCATCAATGTCCACCTCTGTTATTATAATTATTTACGGTGGTTTACTACTTATAGACCGTGATCGATTTCATCACGTCGAGTCCATATTGTCGTGTACTTAAGGTTTTGGCGCTTAATTTTTTTCTTCTTGTTCGTACCACATTCTAATGCGCCGACCATTAAAAACCCATTACGCCGCCGGACCTTAAGCTTCGCCGCCCCGTGTTGCTATCAATTTCTTATTTTCCGCGCATTTTGTTTCTTAAACGCGTTACATAATATGACGTTAGTGTAGTGTTATGCAACATATTAAAATATTATACATGGGTACTTTATACTTTTGCAGATCGCCATCTTATGTAGTATATTATAGTCGGCGAGCGTGCACGTGCATATTGTAATATAAGATCCAGACCGTTTTCCAATTACTATTACATTATTTTATATGTGTATGTACTCGTGTGTTCCCGCCGTCGTCGTCACATCCCATATATTTTGTAAAATTATCGAAAAACCCAAACGAACAAACATTTTAAAGATAACGAGAATAATCCGCGCAACGTGTATTGTTTCACAGGGTACATTTTTAAAAAAATATTTTTATTTTACATTATGGAATTTTTGCTCTACTGATTTATCACCCGCGAAAATTACCTTCCCGCCGACTGATTTCCCTCGTGTTGGTTTATATTTTGTTGGTCTGCTTTTGCAGAAACCTACGCATATAGTTTATACGTTTACCTGAACCGGTCATTATAAATATTAAAATGTGTATGACATTAATATAGCCTACGACAACACACGATTCACAAAGGACCGTAACAGTTATATGTGTGTTTATAATAATGTATCCATTGACATTATTGTATACAGCGCTTCAACAATATTTACCCGCGCAGTGTAAACAATATCGAGTAAAAAAACACAAAAAAAAACATTAAAATATGATTTACCTTTAGTCGTATACTTATATAATATATTCGGTACGGCTATAAAAGCCATTAGTTCTAATGTTACCTTTTGGTTTGCCAATGGTCACGAAAACTCAAGACCTCTAAACCGAATAGTGTCGAGTATTAGTTTTATGAGATAACAAGATAAAAAAATCTTATATTTATCTCTAAGCCCGCGAAACCTCAAAAAAACCTAACAGGTATTTATAGTTTCATGTTTAGCACATAATAACTTTGCTGAATGCGGTTGAAAAAATCCAAATTTGTTTTTAATATTATGTTTTAGTAATTTTTTAATCTTAGAACTTATTATTTGAATTTTATAAGAGAACGAATGGTAAAATATATATATAATTTTTTTTAAATATACTTCTCGATTATTTCAAGTTTCTTTTCAATCCTTGGACATCTTTACGTATTTATCCTCTTATGATATGGTGAAAAATAAATACCCATATTATACTAAATTGCACGGCAACTCTATTGTCTAGATGAGTTATATAATGTATTAAAACTTATTTTAAAGATTAAAATATAATCATGCTTAATAATATTTTTTTTATTCCGCTATAAATATTTTTCCAAAACCCTATGTAAGTAATTTACCATAATATACTAATTCGGAATATACCACTTATTCAAATAGCATCCCGTATAATAATCTACGAGTAAACAAGAGAAAATAGGGTTAAAAAATGCAGAAGGATAAACTATGCTTGATGCCAGATTTGCCTTATAAAAAATAAATAAGCATAATATTATTATGATTTTACTATGTATAATATAATATTTACACAACTCCGTTTTACCTGTTTTAACCGTTATTTTACTATACGCAGTGTAAAATATTAAATAAACTTATATAAGGTTTTTATTAATACTTTTATTTTTTTTTAGCTTGTCTCGTAATTAAAGGAAAAATTTTTTTTTTTTTTAATTCTTGATTTGCCCATTCTTGTCAGCTCACAATTTAAATCTCAGAATCATATTATCACAATTAAAAATGATTAGTTATTCGTGAGTATAGCTGTTAATATTTTTTTATAATTTGTTTTATACAGAACCAATTGGGGAGGTGACTGTTAATCACGTGACTTCTCCTAATATTTTTTTAAAAGGAATTAAAATTTTTGTTTGCCATTCTTAGAATTTTGTACTTTCAACTCTCAATTTATTTATGACAATTTATAATTTTATTTTATATATATATATTATAATGATAAATGAATAATAATATGCGTACTAGATTTTAAAGTGGATAAATACAGAACTCATTGGCGTCATTTGTAAACAAGGGTTTATTTTTTTACGAATTCATATTAATTGAGGAACACTTAAAATCGCATTAAATAATATAATATTATGTATGAATTAAAACAATATTTAATTAAACTATAGCTTTTTACCGAGAACTGCTCCAAGTAAGTATTATATTTCTTCGTAAGAAAAATTATTCTATTCAATTTTTAACGATAAATCAATACGGATATTCTAAATAATTATTTTGATTTTATTATACAAAGAATACATTTTAAGGTTCTATAATATACAATTTAAATGAATAAACTAAGTAGAATGCCAATAACGCGTTGATATCCAATTAATTGCTTAACGAATTGTGCATATTTAGGAGAAGTAGGAGAAACAGTTTGCAAACGTGTAGGAAGATCATTTTATTATATTGGTTGTAACGGACACGAAAATATAACGGTTATTTCTTATTAACCTCAGACGTTGCCATGCTCAAAATAAATTCATTCGTTAATTAAAACCACATTTCCAGCGTATTTTTTTAATTTAGTCCGGACAGAAATAATATGATTAAAAAATATAATAGCTAATTATTTTATTATCATTTCCCTAACCATTAGCCGCAAAAGCTTATTACATTTTTGTTCATGCTGTTATTTTATACTTAACTAGACTATCATATTGCTTAGTAAAGTTAAAATAAAAGTAAAAATATTACAGTAAAGTATTATCTTTTTCTACTTAACATTGGTAAATAAATGTAAAAAGTTATGATAAGTGTAAATAATAGTAGTTATTCGTAATTATTGTGACTATTATCGTTTAGGTGCACCATAATAATTATTTTTTCTTTATTTTTATACCACAAACTTCTTGTTTTTAGTGCGTACAACTTTTTGAGAACTATAATAACAATTTATTGAATGTATATTTAAAAATTATTCTAGATACTTTAAAAACGTTGCGAGGCGACTGAAGTTTCATAACTTTTTTTCATGTTTCTTAACCGATTTATACATCCAAGTTTTAACTATTCTGAGTAGCGTCCAACATCAGGTTAACATTACTTATGAATATATTTCCAAAACAACTTTTGTTATTTTACTCTGTAGTTTCGTTCGTTCTTCAATGACATATAAAACAATATATTTTGTATTTTAATACAAAGTTTTTAAATTAAATCGTAATTCGCGCGGGGCATTTATTATACATGCTTCTATCTAACAATGGCCTAAAAACCAAATTTCAACTTCATCGCTTCTGCTCCATAAGAGAAAAATCGTTCAGTTTAATTACCATGAACTAATTTTGAGACTTAAAAAATAAAAGTAGTCAGAACGTAGGTATAAAATATATTCACAAAATATCTTTTAAACAAAACTTGAATTCGACGTTTGTTTATTAAAGATACCCGTAAATCGCTAAAACTAAATATTACAATAAAGGAAATTTTTGATGAAATTTAAAAAAATGTTTGAGCTTGAAAGTATAATGTAATGAATTGTATGTAAGTTACATTAGGATTAAAAGTTTCCAAAATATTTTAACGACTTATATAGAACGTTTAATAGTGGTACATCAATTTTTTTTTTTAGATGTAGTGACTACTAAATATAATTTGATATTCTTTCTTCTTTTTCTTATGTTCGTTTTTCCGACCATCTTCTTAAATGTAATGACCGTACGTGAAATGCTTGGAGATTCTCCTTTCCTCATAATTTTGTTTTTTGACACGGGGTCTTGATTTATCTGTTTTCTCACTATTTCCTTTTTCCGACTCTGCTTTGGCCAAAACCTTCTTCCTGTTAACTCCTCTCATATTTCTCTGTATTTGTCTCGCTTATGTTTTGTGATTTTATTTATAAATTGCATTATTATATAGTGATTGTTGAAATATAATATTTTTCCTAAATAAAATAAAAATAACCAAAGATGGAAAATAATACATGATGTGGCAACAATAAAATAGAATAATTAAAATCTATCTATGTTCTGTGTTATTTTTTCGTGACTTATGATTGTCACTGCGTACGGTTTTATGAAATATGGCTGATATTGCGTAAAGTCCTTAGTCAAAGCTAGCGGTCTTTAATGACGACGTTAATTACTCAATAAAACATGTGGGCAATTAAAAAATATCTCAGAATAATTAAACCGGTATAGAATACATTAAGTATCATATTATTTTGTGTAAATCAATAGATTTGGCTTTGAAATCAAATATGTGAATAAAGCGTTCTGATATAATAACAATAATAAATTGTGGTTTTGGTTTTGTTTTGTTGTAAAATATGGCGTAGCACTTCTTCGCAAAGGCGGAGGGTTTGGAAGGGTCAAGCGCAGAATTCCATTTCTGTGTTTGCTCTATTATTCGGTCATGATAAACTAGACAGTTGGCTCGTACAATAAAATATGACTAGGTGAGCTGAAACTTTTAGACTCATGAGGCTAGTCGGAATATTTCTAAAATCTTTTGTTTTTCTATGTCGGATGCTGATGATTTTATGGAACTCATGCGATTGCGTTAATTACTTGTCCGGTGTAATGGAAATACGACATAGTTGTTATTTTGATTCATTTCATTTGATTGTATTGTCTCCAATCTTCAGTTGTTAATTGCCCGTTCAATTAACAGCCATTCGCGACTAATAGCCCATATCA